AATATGAGTGATGCCAGTTACGGATGTTGGTTTATATTCAAGGCTGAGAGCTGGTGCTTGTTCATATTCTGAGATTCTTCAGGGACTTCACTGTTCAGTTCCTGTGTTTCCAGAGATATGCTTCAAAGAAAATATTGAAAACTGATTTTGGAGTGAAAATAATTCTGAACAAGAATTAAGAAAAAGAAATCTCAGGCCAGGTGAGGTGCCTCACGCCTATAATCCGAGCACTTTCAGAGGCCAAGGAGGATTGCTTGAGGCCAGGAGTTGGAGACCGGCTTGAGCAACACACAGAGACCCTGTCTCTACAAAAAATAGAAAAATTAGCCAGGCATAGTGGTTCATGCCTGTAGTCCCAGCTACCTGGGAGACTGAGGCAGGAGGATCTGTAGAGCCAAGGAGTTTGTGTTTGCAGTGAGCTATGATGACGCCACTACACTCTAGTCAGAGCAAGAGAGCAAGACCCTGTCAAGAAAGAAAAGGAGAGAAAGAAAAGAAGGCAAAGAAGGAAAGGAAGGAAGGAAGGAAAAAAAAGAAATCTCACAGCACAACTTGTTTTCTTTAGTTCTCCTATTCAACTTTTGCTGCAAGTATAAATTGATTGAGTAACAGGACAGAGTATGATGCTTAGCCATGCTGAATGTAGTAAGTTACATTCATGAACTCTATAAAACAACACTGTTTTTCAAGCACTTGGCATGCACTATGCCTTGCACATGACAGGAGCTCAATAATGATTTACTCTTCTGATTTCATTTCAGTTTTTCCTTTTCCCTTAATTTGCTAGAAGATATAGCACAAAGCTCCATCTACAGAAAACAGGAAATTGCCTTACAGCAAACACTTGAGGCAATAGATACCTAAACTGAAATCTGATTCTCAGCACTCACAGCTGAAATTATATTTTACTATAAGCATTTTGAAAAAGGTACAAGAATACCAAACAAACAGACAATCCTAGAGGCTCTTTTTAAAAATATATCTAACTTGCCCCAGGAAAACACAATAAAATTGCTTATAATATACTGATAGAATCATTTAAAATGTGTTCTTGCATGCCCTAGCTTCCAAAAAAAATCATTTACAAGGTCTTAAATCTACATAAATTTGATTCACAAACATTTTTATATTATATAAATTAATTTAGAACAAGTGGATATAAATGACCAGCTGACATATGCCTTCTGTACAAAAAATCATGGCTGTAATAAAATAAGCAGCCAAAGAAAGTGCATTTTGCAAAGTCAATGAGCCAATTTGAGGAACAGAACTCTTAAAAAGAATTAGGTAATCACACACACAGAAAAACCCTGAAAAATGCAACAAGTTGTACCTATGCTTCATTAGTACCTCACTCTTTCTGTTTGCATTATTTTTTAATAATGTTTCATTGTTTTAATAAAAGATTGGGGGAGTTGTTTTTTAGTGTAGTTCAGTTTAAATGAGCAGAAAGTATCTCAATATCCATAATTATGGGAAACCTGACTATAATCAAGGTATTCTAGAAAATCTAAAACAACTTTTAACAAATAAATTTTTAGAACAATATTAAGTGTCCAGAAGATATGGCCTTTTAAGTTTAGGCCTAAAAAGGAACCACAAATGTTCTCCACCTATAAGATCTCTTGTGATGCAAGAGCTGGAAGAACTACAGAATTAATCTAGTTCATCACCCTCATTGGACAAATATGAAAACTGATGATTAGAGAAGTTAGTGACTTGCCAAAGGATTCATGGCAAGTTAGCAGATTAAGGACGGAACTCAGGTATTGTGTCATCCAGCTCCATGTTCTTTGCATTATATCATACTATTGCTAATAAAACACAATACAAGAATGAGGGAGAGAAGGAGAGAAAGACAGAGGGAAGGAAATCTAAGCTACCTACTATACTTGGTCATTCAAAAATTTATTTACTTTAGAAGATATATTGATATAAAGGACAAGAGCAAAAAATACACACACACACACACACACACACACATATATGGAAATGAAAGGATCTACCAGGAAAAGAATATGTATTCATAGAAAATTTAATAGATACTATAAACATTAAGGAAATTTAAGAGTTTTATGGCTAATAGAATGAAGTAGTCTTTACAATCCAGCAAAAGTTTGCTGCTTCTGCGACTACCCTTGAATTTTCAAAAAAATTAGTGTTGACCTGAAGGTACTCCTGAATTTATCTGGCCTTTGGGGAAACTCACAGTCCCTGAAAGGCCCAGGATGGAGACAGAGCTATTTTGGCCACTTCAGTGTGGCCTGCATGTTCACTCTACTCTGGCTGGGCCTCCCCTAGACCACTCCTGAACATGATCTACTTCCTTGGGCTCTGACACACTCCTGGTTATTTCTGGAATCATAAGAAATGTCTCTCATGACAGCCAATAAACTGATATATTTCGTAATGTATTTTACCTTGATTTTTCTATTACATTATAAAGAATTGTTTAATTATAACTCAGATCTACAGACATCTAAAATGTTAGTGCTTGAAGGGGCACTCAGAGTTAATTTAATACTATGCTCTCATTTTACAGATTAAGCAAATTGAAGCTCAAAGATAGGCAGTAAATTGCTCCAAGTCATACTTTCTTGGAAGTTAATTCTTTTTTAGGTATAGGGTGGAAGTATAGGAGCAGGCTTACATTCATATTAGTTTGAGTCAGGAAAAGCAACACATTCTAGAGGTCTACTGGTCTAGAGGTCTAGAAGATGGACAGGCAGGTTTCAGTCACTCAGAAATTCTAAAATAATAATAATAACTATAATAATTCCAAAGCTGCTATTCCATAGAACAGTGAGTAGCTTAGTGAATGTTAACTGGTGTGTGTGGGGGGAGGAAAAAAAGTTCATGGTCAAGCAAACTTTTAAAATGATGAGTTGAACAAAGTATAATAAAATGGGCTTCTTTATGCCTAACCTGCTCAGAATCTTCAATACCTTAATGTCGACTAAGAATCTCCAAAAGCAGAGTGGCATGTGCTAGGTTTCACAAATTTATTTGAGCCTGAACTTCTTTTTTTAAGGTCATATCTGTTAACATCTCCTTAAACAGCACACTAAGGAGTATATATTAAGAAATCTTTGCCTGTTATCTTTAAATTGAGAGATCAGAAAACCAAGCCTATTCAAATTATAGTAGCTCTTACTCAAGGTTGCAGCTTAATAATCCACACTTGCCTCTGTATAATTCAATCAACTCCTACTAGAACAGTGGTAAAATACAGGAATTGGACCACTCTAATCTAGATAGTCACTACAAGGTTGAAATGTACGTGTTCAGAATTCAACTCGACACATATTTATTAAATATCTACAACTATATGCAAGGTATTAATACACAAATTTATCTTTCCAACCATTTATATTCCCTTTTCTTCTCTCTCAATGCTCTCAGTTCTAATAGTAAGTTAATTTACCACTGCCTCCCTTCTTGGTCCTGCTACACATTGAACTATTAGCATTTTATTGCCATTTGCATCTTGGAAAAATGAATCCTAGCAAAGAAAAGCACAACAGAAGACTAACAGAGGATATGTTTGTTGCTTTTAAACATATAAATTTTATTTTAAGGTTCTTTCAAACATATCACTTTTATTTCAAAATCACCTAAATTTGTACCTCTCTACTAGTATCATGACTAATTAAAAAAACAATTCTTTTTTTTGGCGTTTATTTATACTCATTTGATCTGATCTGTAAGTTTCTCACTTACTAGGAAAGTAGTGTTAAAATCACAATGCTTTCTTTGCAACCAAATAGATTAAAAGATGGAAAAGCTCCTCTATGCCTTACATATAAATAAATTCTCAGTACCTCTTGAAAGTCATCTGTTACTGAAAAAACATTAGGCCCTTTATTGGCTCTTCCTCCACGGTCTTTTCTTTTAATTTTCTTCGGCAAACCACGTCCACGACTCACATTAAAACTTTTAACCCTCTGTTCAATACCTAAAAAAAGTTAAAATGCACTTCAAATACCATAGAAAAACAGCATACCTGTCAATCTATTAGTTTACAAGGAACAGCATATTTTTAATAGTTTATAATGTATAATGCATTCTTTTTCTCCTCTTTAGATTCAATGAAAAAAATTAATTAAAACATTTTACTTCCTGAGTACCGCTTCTTGTTCATTTCTTAAGGGACGTTAACAACATAGGAAGGCAAGGAACAAGGACATACATGACTAGAGAAGCTAAATCCAATTTTACTCATTTTAATTTTCCTTAGGATAAGATCATTAACAAACCTTTCTGCGTTCAAGAGAATTAAATATTATATTTCCATTTAAGGAAGACATTATAGGTATAAGTTAATTAGTTAGTTTATAGCTAACCAAATTTCTCTTGATAATTTTGAATAGCTATGCACACAGTTCTCCAAATAAAAATTATACTTGTTTTTTGCTTTTGAATAACACAGTATTTAAAAGTATCTAAAAAGATACTCAAATACAAAAGTTATATGTTAAGGTAGTAAGTTAACAATACAAAGTAATTCTCATTTTACCAACATCATACTGAACCATTAAGTTCTCTAATTACTTTAAAACCTACAAAATGGCCAATAAATATATGGAAAAATGTCTCATCATTAAAAGAAATCAAAGAAATTAGAATTTTAAAAATAACATGTCCATTTTCACCTCAAAGAATAATAAAATTCATTGTTGATAGATATTAGAGAAATTGGCATTTTCACACCCTGGCAGGGGAATTATAAATTGGTGTATCACCTTTTTGGATATCAACGGTATGTGGGTCAAAAATCTTCAAATGTGTGGCTATGTATTTTGACTTGGCAATTCTACTTTTAAGAATTTATCCTTAAGAAAAAATGTTTATATATAAATATGTTTATTGCAAAGTCACAGAATTGGGAAAAAAAAATAGATGCAGCCTAAATCTCAAATCATTATTATCAAACAAACCTAACAACTGGTGAAGACAAACTATGGTCTATTTGTTTAACTGACCAGAATGTAGCTATTAAACCTACTCATTAATATGAAAGTGACTGAGATACAATTTATAGTTAAGGGGGAAAGAAACCAAGTTACAATGGTATGTATAGTTTTTGTTGAAAATAATGGTCATAAAAATTCTGGAAGAATGTACCAAAAATATCAATAATTATTATCTCTGGGTGGTAGGAATTCAATTTATTTTTGTTTTATCTTTGATCATTGCTGGGTTATCTTTTATACACACAGGAAAAGTTTTCTGCATTTGACCATATATTACTTTCATAACTCAGGAGGAAAAGAATGTCAAAAATAAAATGCAATAATCAATTCTTTAAAAGGACAAGTAAGAGCTGGAAAAGAAAAACCCCAGGTGAAAATGGACAGGCAAGTCCCCTCTGCATGACCCCTATTCTCCAAGTGGGATGATCCCTGATACCACTATGTCTAGACTCCAGGAACAAACTTGCTGAGTACAATAGCATACATGTAGAAAAAGTCTTTTTATTTTATTTCAGCTAAGCTTGCATTCATATTTTTCAAAAGAATTTTGCTATGAAATCAAGAAAAACTAAAGCCATAGAAATAACCAAATTTACTCATAACCATTCCTTTGTTCAAAGATAATTAAAGGATAGTTACATAGGGTGTGGCTGCTCACTGCTTCACCTCAGCCTCATCTTGCTCCAGTTTTCTTGAGCCACACATATCCACTAGCCAATAATTCAGGTTGATTTGAGCCTTACATGATCCATAGTTTCTTCACCTATTGTCAACAGCTGGCATCTTGCCCTGGTGTCTCCAGAGACCATGTATTAACACTTCAATACAGCACATAAACAGGAGCTCACTCCAGAAATCTCTTTAGATTATGTTCTTATTTCCAATCTTAAAGGATGTCCATCATCTTATGTACATTTGCATAACAAAGATGACACCATATTTTAAAGCCTAATAAAAGAATAGGTTCCTAGAGTTCTGTCCTTATTAGTGTAAAATAAAAAGCAACACATACAGTAACAGAGACAACTGTATATTGACATCATATAGAAGGGAGGGAAAAAACATAATAAAGTTGTATTACATTTTTATATACTTTTAAAATATGAGAATGCCATTTTAATTGAAATATTAAGATATAATGTAGATTAAAATATTTGTAGCTTTTTGTTCTTATGGTTTAAAAAATAAAGGAAAATAAATTTAGGTACCACAAGAATAAGCTGATCTTGAGAAGGGGATAAGAAATTTCTAAGTTTTTACTACACAGCTACCTGTTTTAGTAAGGTTCTCATATTCTAAAACAAATTGTTCAAACTTACCTTGCTGAACTCCTTTCATTCTCTGTTTTTTCCCTGGTTCTTTAGAAAATGATGACCCTAAAGTAGTATTTGACGTTTCTTTAGTTTGTCTGTATTGTTTTAGCTGACTGGCAAAATCTTCCTCTGTTTCCTGATCGTAGTTACCAAAGTTGTCATCACTGTAGTTACCGAAGTTGTCATCACTGTAGGTACTGTATTCATCATATTCTTTACTTTTAAATTTTTTGTTATGTTGACCCTTCTTTGATGTCATGTAGCTTCCTGATATATGTCCATGCTAAGTGAAAATGAACAATCATTATCAGGATTTTTCAATTATATATAGCAATTGATAGTAATACAGGACATCTATTTTCCCCCAGAAAGTTGGGAGAAAGAAGGTAAAAAGATAGTTACTAGTTCTGACTCTTGATTAATACTTATCTGACACTATTTAACACTAAGTTCAAAAGGCTAAATGATACTCTGATATTATTAAACATTATAATCTTTATGCTTTAGCTTTTGTTCTCCATATTCTATGTCTCAATACCCATACACACAGAAATACCTAAAAATCCACATGATTGTATATAAATTCCTTCTCTAAAAAAATGAAAAGGCCTTTTTGAAAATAAGGAAAAGATAGTAGAATAGGTTAGGGGTGGTGGTGTGGAAAAACATTATTTCTCCTAACATTGAAAAATTCTCAAATGACATTGTATTTAATTTTTAAAAAGTGTGGAAAATTTTATAAAAAGAAAATGTTTATATCTAAAGTCTAATAGAAAAAAATAGAGCTTTCCCTAATAGTGAAAAACATCTAGTGAATAAATTGCTCATTAGAAACTGTTCATTACAACATTGTTAATTTTATTGCTTCCTTACTAAAGCATGTAAAAGCAAAGAATATACTTCAGTCCAAGAAGTTTATTTAATGATAATATCCAAGTCTGTCTCTATTCACTGAAATATTTTTATTAGATCTGTCATATCTTAACAATTTTTTATAATAAAGCAAGAAGAAAATTGCACATAACTACAACTCGAGGATCTAGGAAAACCCACACCATGATTCATATTTACCTTAGTGCATATAAAAGTACTGCCCTGGTAAAATATCAACATGAGACTATGTATTTTTAATTAAATGCACAAACATATCTTTATTATTATAAAATAGATACAAATGCATAACTAATCAAGAAAATTAATTGGCTCACCAATTTTAAAAATACTATTAGATTTCTGATTTTTGTTTAAGCAGTACTTTTTAAAGTTTATACTCTATTCTCAGTCTAGCACTTCAGAAATTCAGAAGGGGACTTAAAATTATAGCCAAAAGGCACTGTTTCCAACATTTTTAAAAAGATACTATGAAAACTTAAGCAAAACAAAAAAATAGCTGCTTAGATTAAGTTGAAGATTAATTAGTTAAATGATGCTTACATTTCCTTTTATTAAAACTGTGACTATGTTAATATTTCAGTGATTACTGTTAATGGATGAGTATGAATTTTTCTCTGGAGATTAGATGCTTCTCATTAAAGTTTTTAATTCTTAATATTAATTCAATTCTCTGATTTTCATAGCTTTATAAAAATAATCTCCATGTTTTTTAAGTAGAATTATCCTTATACTTTCAATTTATCTCCTCCCTAGTTTTTCTAGCTGCAAATATTTCTAATAGCCCCCTTAGGATGCAAACATTCCATCCCAGGGCTCCTTCTGTAGTAAAAGACTTCTAATATGGACTGCTGAAGTCTTTAACATTCAGATCAGAGTGACACCCATGTGGTGTGAGCTCTCTAAGGAAGCACTAAATGGATGAAGGGTTATAGAGAAGCCCCACTTTTCTAGAAGAATACCTCCTTATGGTTTGCATGCTCGTCACTGGAGTGAACAAAATGCACTCACCAGCAAGGGTCTAGCAAGTATTTTTTCGAGCCCTACTGAGAGAAGATAAAAGAAATAAAAAAGGTTATAAACTACCAAAAGACAGTTTTTCTGATTGCTTTGCTGACTGATTATTGGACTATATAAACTGCTGCAATGTCTGTGGGAGAAGATTTGCTTTCTGTAAAATAAAAAGGGGCTCCCTGGCAATCACTGAAAACACGAAATAAATGAATAGGAAGCCCTAAAAAAGCATGAGGAAAAGGGGAGCTATATTAAGTCCTCTAATTTAACTGCAAGATGTTAAGGGTACATTCTAATTTTCGCCTGCAATTGTAGAAGTTACATAGCAGATACCTATTATCTAAGAAAATGGGATTTTAAGGATGTAGTTAGAATATTTTCCAATTCTCATTGAGTTAACTCTAAAATATATGTGGAGGAAATGATATTGAACTTTCTTTATGGCAGACTAGGTAATTCAGACCAGTTGTCCCCCTAAGAAAAGTAGAAAAGATAGAATATTTTTCTTAAATCTTCTGTAGACATCAGAGAGCTAACAAATTAGTGAAGGATTACTAGGCCAATACCCATGGAGTAGATGAAAATCCCAAGAAGTGAGCAGTATTTGGAGCTGCTTTTGCTCTGAGAGCATCAGCCCATCAGGAAGAATGAGCTGAAAGGCACTTTTGACTTTAACAGCAGTCCTGACTATCCCATTAGGCTACAGTAACAAAAGGTGGAGTCTAGAGTTTGGAAAAAGTGGAAGCTTAGTAACTCCACCTCTCAATTATGAGGGGTGCTCAAAATGAGAATCAGAGACTACGGCTCAGCCTTCAGTTATCTAGGTGGCCCAGTAAAGTCCCAAATCCTGAAATTGGGATAAAGTTTCTAAAGGTCAACAGGGATCTGGCCAAAGCAAGTAAAAATCCTCTCTGAAGGAAAAGAACATTATCCTAGGCCTAAAATTATTTCTACAAAATGCACTGTATTTTGCAAATACAATGCCCAGCACACAATAGAAAAAAACCAAAACAGACCAGGCATGGTGGCTCATGCCTGTAATCCTAGCACTTTGGGAGGCCAAGACAGGAGGATGACTTGAGGCCAGGAGTTCCTGACCAGGCTGGGCAACACAGTGAGACCCCATCTCTACAAAAAATAAAAATTAAAAAACTAGCTAGGCATGGTGGCATGCACCTGTAGTCCCAGCTACTCAGGAGGCTCAGGCAGGAAGATCACTGAATCCAGGAGTTAAAGGATGCAGTGAGCTATGATAGTGCCACTGTACTCCAGTCTGGGTGACAGAGTGAGACTCTGTCTCCAAAAAAAATTTTTTAAATAAAAAAAATAAAACTATTTAAAAAATTTAAAAAAAGAAAAAATACAAAACAAAAACAGGCTTATGAGGAGACAAGACCACATGAAAGAGAACCAGCAAAAGCAACAGGCAATAGAAATACAGACTCCAAATATTAGAATTTATGTGATGACAGATTTAAAAATATCTGTTTTGCTATTTTCAAATACAAGATAATATGAGAATTCCAGAAGGGAACTGGAAACAATAAACATGACTTAGAAAATTTGAAAAGAATCAAATAAATTTCTAGATATGAAAAATATAGGCTGGGCGCAGTGGCTCACGCCTGTAATCCTAGCACTCTGGGAGGCCGAGGTGGGCAGATAGTTTGAGCTCAGGAGTTCGAGACCAGCCTGAGCAAGAGTGAGACCCCCGTCTCTACCGAAAAATAGAAAGAAATGATCTGGATAACTAAAAATATAGAGAGAGAAAAAAATTAGCCGGGCATGATGGCACATGCCTGTAGTCCCAGCTACTCGGGAGGCTGAGGCAGGAGGATCGCCTGAGCCCAGGAGTTTGAGGTTGCTGTGAGCTAGGCTGACGCCACGGCACTCTAGCCTGGGCGACAGAGTGAGACTCTGTCTCAAAAAAAAAAAAAAAAAAGAAAAATACAAATACTAAAAATAAACAACTTAATAGATGGTTTAAAGGCAAATTAGATCCCTCTGAAGAGAAGATGAGAGAAGAGTCATAAAGGATTAAGTAAAACATACGTGGAAAAATGTTAACAATTAGGGAATTTGGGTGAAAGATCTATTCTATAGCAGTGCTTTTCACCATTCTTGCAACCTTTCTGTAAGTCTGAAGTTATGACAAAATAAAAAGTTATAAAAAATGAGGGTAAAATAAACACAATGCCCAATAAATAAAAGTTTATTGATAGCAAACCTGCTGTCAAATGCTAAACAAAGGCTGAATGAAATACTTCAGGTTAAAAGAAAATGACACCACACTGAAACTCAGATCTACACAAAGAAATGAAGAGCACTGGAAATGAAATGTGGATAAATATAAATATAAATCCTTTTTCTTAATTTCTTTAACTGATTTTTAAAGCAAAAATAGTAACATTATATCTACAGGGATATATAATAATCATTATATTAATGATATATTATTTATTAAAAATAACTAACTTCATGTTTAAAAATGAGACACTTAAAACCAATGCACTATTATTTATACAAACTGAACTTGTCCCTCACAGTGGCCCCATAGAAAGCTACATATTTATTACAATAATGCTACCACTATTTTCAAATATTCTGAACCTCCTTTTTTGAAGACATTTTAACAAAACCTCATTTATTTTTAATGTTCATTTAGCAACCTCAACTATAAAGGTGGCCACAGAAAGTCAGATTATAGAAATAACTCTAACAAAAATAGAATTTGGTTTCTAAATTTATAAGAGATTAGGAATATCAAATTGGGAGAAAGAATAGAGCTCTTGTAGATAAGAACAATGACAGACTGGCAAACACCAGAACTCAGAAACCCTGGGGCTTTTCATGTAAGTGCACACTGACCTGAATATTTCCCAGTACTTCTCAGGGAATCATTATTTTCCTTGCACAAAATAATGTATACTTGGAGATAGGGCCTTTAAAGAGGTGATTAAGTAAAAATGAGGCTGTTTAGAGTGGGCTCTAACCCAATTTGACCAGTATCCTTAAAATAAGAAAAAATCTACACAGAGACACACTAAGAGTTCTTGTGCACAGAGAAATGACCATGTGAGGACAAAGAAGTGAGAAGGAGGCCATCTACAAACCAAGGAGAGCACAGATTCTTCCCTTACATTTCCTCAGAGAAAACCAACCCTGCTGGCACCTTGTTCTTGGACTTCTAGCCTCCAGACTGTGAGAAAATAAATTTCTGTTGTTTAAGCCACTTAGTCTGTGGTGTTTTGTTATGTTAGCTCTAGAAAACTAATACATAATGTATTCTTTATTTTCAAAGATTTGAAATTTGTAGCATATGTCTGATAAAACTTTTTTTTCCAAAATACCAGAAAGTGAAGAATAAAACTGAAAATTTATTTTTCGCTTTAAAAGGCAATATCTCAAAACCACAATGAGAGCCCATTTTCTGTTTCCAAAAAAGAAAAAAAATAACAAGTGTTGGCAAGGATATGGAGACATTGGAACCCTCAAACATTATTAGTGTGAATGTAAAATGGTGGCAGCCCTCTGGAAAACAGTTTGACAATTCCTTAGGAAGTTACATGCTGAATTACCATGTGATCCAGCAATTCCACTCCCAGGTATATGTTGTAATGAATTGAAAGAAGGGTCTTGAGCTATTTGTACACCCATGACATAAGCAGCATTATTCACAATAGCCAAAAGGTGGAAGCTACTCAGGTGTTTATCAATAGATGAGTGGATAAACAACATGTGGTACATACATACAATGGAATATTATTCAGCCTTAGAAAAGAATGCAATTCTGACACATGCTACAACATAGACAAACCCTGAAAAATATGCTAAGTGAAACAAAAGGACAAAATACTGTATGGTTCCACTTATATGAGGTACTTAGAATAGGCAAATTCATAGAAAGCAGAATAGTGGTTACCGGGGGATGGGGAAAGGTGAAAATGAGGTGTTATTGTTTAATGAGTACAGAGTTTCTGTTTGAGATGATCGAACAGTTCTGGAAATGGATAAGTGGTGATGGTTGCACAACATTGTGAATATACTTAATACCATTAAATTGTATACTTAAAAAGGATTAAAATGGTAGATTTTTATGTTATATATGTTTTACCACAATTAAAAAAAGGCAATACCTGAGGAAATGGAATGTCATAATCCCTGTAGAAACCAGTTCTTTTTTTATGGGAACTTTCTGGATGTTCGACGTCTGAATCAAGGCTGTAGTCTGAACTATCACTAGATGGAGAATTATGCTGAAGGAAAGGAAAAGACATAAATATGTTACATTTGCAAAGGAATGAAAATTTAACTAGTAAGTAGCTAAGCTTGTTTCAGCTAGACGTGCCAACCAGTAGGTGACATTACTCCAGTACTGAAAAATTCTTGCTCCAAAAGCCAGCACCACGCCAACTTCTCTAAGATTTTCTTGGGGGAAAGTATAGCTTCCCTTCTGATCAGGGACTTCAGCACAGCATTTTTCTCATCATCCCTTTGGCCCAAACAGAAATAACGCACCCCTGGGGTCTAAAATGATCTTATATTTAAGCTAATCCGAAAGGAAGTGAAATTGACTCATCATCACCAAAAAGGGTCCTAGCACACGAGGAGAATATGTATTTATTTTTACCTTTAATAGCTTTGGAGTTCTTATTCTATTGCATGAGTACCCTAAAACTAAAAGATACCAAAACACTCCAAATTACAAATACGAAATAAATCCAGCCCACAAAATTGAACAAAAGTGAAATGAAAACCACAAGTAATTGATAATGACTGACAAATATCAAGAGTAAGCCTCTTCAAGTATGAGGGCAATTTCAAAAAAAAGTGACCAAATCTCCCCATCTAGACAAAATAATTACCTTCCAAGGTGGAGCACTCTCTTTAAAGAGTTCTTAAATTTCTTAGCAATAAAGACACTAGCTCTGTATTTTATTATCCTTGCATTCCCAGCATCTAGGTCTAATACAAACTCAATAAAAATTTGCTGCATTGAACTCTGATGCTTCTACAGGGAAAAGAGGAAGGATCTGTTTTGCCCTACTCCATTCTTAAATGCTCTTTTAGAGAAGACAAACTGCTTTCCTCCATTTTGTTCCTAATTGGGGACTGGTTTTGTGGTGTCATCAATTTTGTTTTTGTTGATTTGATAGGTGATATGAAGAAATCTTTTTACAATTATGCTGTCAAATCTTCAACTTTAAGTACCTAAGCTTTGTCAGGGTTTAAAATATTAATAAATATTTTCCATTAAAAATCAAGCATGCTTAGTCACTATCAGAAGTCAGCTCCAGCCCTGTGGAAAATCTTTCACTTGGAAAAAACTTTAGGGATAAGACTTGTCTAGGACAAATCTCAAGGGAAGATACTGCTTCAGGAAAAATGATCAGCAAAGAGAAGATTCTGCATAAGGGGAAGGTTCCTCAGCTATTCCAAAAAAACTGAGGTGAGAACATATACACTTTGTGGCTCATATATAAGCAAAGTAATTTTGACCTGAAATTCGCAATTGAACTACGTAAAAATCGCTGGAAATAGTAGAGAGTAATTAAAAGTCATAAAAATTAAGTGAAAAAATATGCTTTGAGAATATTTGTGCTTTTGTTTATTCCTCCTTTTTTGGGGGGAGGTATTGTTTGAGTTGTTTGTTTAGAGTTTGAAAATTCTGCTTTTAATTTTTATTATTTTACACATAATACACTGGTGGGTTTTTTCCTTCAATATACTTGGCTGGTAAGTACTGAAGTTCAAGTCAAAATTAAGTTTTCTATAGTACTCTTAAACAAATGCCATCGCATCACTTCATGATGAGTAAAGAGAGCAAAAGACACATAATTCAAGGACTAATTAGCAGAAAAGCCACATAGTGACCCTATAAATATTCAAAATTGGGACAGAAAGAATTTAAGGACTTGGGTAACTTCCTCCAAACATGCTCTGTGTTTCTTTGAGCAACCAGCTAATTTCTACCTGTCCTTCGAGATTTACTAAAGAGCCATTGAATCCCCTCAAAATTCGCATGTCAGGGAAGCAGTCTGAGAAAACTACTCAGCTACAAATTCATACTACCTGTCATTAAAAAGGAAGGATGACTGAGAGGGCAGAACCAATAGCCCAGGGGGTGGATCCAAGACCTATGGAGAATTACTCCCAGACTTTGAAACCTAATCAAGAAAAACATGATGACACTCAAGTAGCCTTTGAAGAAGCCCATATGGCAAGAGATGATCTGATTTTTGAAGGTTTGACAAAAACTCTCCTTTGAAAAGATTTGACCCTCGTGTGTCCTAGTAGGGGAAATTATAAAATATAGTCTCCAAAAAATTTCTTAGACTTTTTGACTCTCTGGAATTAATTTTGTCAGGTAATATTTTTCTAGAAAATTATCTATTTCATCTTCTTTTTTATATTCATTTTTATAAAATAACATAAATAAATATCTTATGGTTTTAATTTCCTCTTTTTGATAGTTATTTCACCCTCAGCATGTCTAAATTTATTTTTCTTTCCTTTTTTTTTCCCCTTGATTAGTTTGGCCAGTGATTTATATACATTGTTGACTTTTTTTAAAAACTACTGATTTTTCATTCTAATTCATTAAGCTCTGCTTATAACTTTATTAACTACTTCCTTTTTGTTTGTTTTGTTTTGCTTTGTTATTATTCTAGCTTTTCAAGTTAGGTATTTAATAATAACTCACTTTTCTTTCATTTTTATTGCTGTGGATAACTAATACTATAATTTTTCTTCCAACAATTGCTTTAGCTATATTCCATAGACACTATGTCAAGATTTTATCGTTATTTTCATGAGATTTCTGCAGTTTTAACCTGTTTCCCCTATGTTTCACAAGCTATTTATAGCATGTATATGAATTACCAAATAGAAAGGCATTGTTGTTTTTTGACTTTATTATTAATGCTAGTTTTATTGCATTGTGGTTTGAGATGGCTCTTTGTACTATTTCTATTCTATTGAATTAATTGTAGTTTTCTTTGTGGCCTATGATATGGTCAATTTTTATGAATAGTCCAAGTGTACTTGACAGGAAGATGTATTCTCAGGAGTCAGAGCTTAATATATATAATATTTATATCTCTTCAGTATCCTTGCCACCTTTTCATCCACTCGATTGGTCTCTTTGGATTAAGAGAAGTATACAGGTCAATCCCCTGTTAGTAGTATATTCTGGCTATCCTTCTTGCAGTTCCTACAGTTCCTGCTTTATGAAAGCTGCTGTTTTGGGGAAGATATAAAATATCAATAACATATCTTCAATGTAAATTATAAGCTTTAACATTATAAAACGCCCTTCTTCATTTCTTTCAATGACTTTTTGACCTAAATTTGACTTTTTCAGATATCAAAATTTTGACTTCTGCCTTCTCTTTCTTTGCATTTGCCTGGTATAACTTTACTATTTTTAATATCTTTCTCTTGTACATAGCTTAGAGTTGAATTTTGCATTATTGGGGGATATATCTTTTGGTATATAGAGAGGCTTATATTTTTGTTTCAATGATTTCCTTCATACTACTGTCTTTTTCCAATAACCATAGTCACTATTTTTGCATACTACTTATTTACTAATAGAAATAATGTTGAAATTAGGCAGTAACCTCTTCTTTCTTCTTTCATTCCCCATGATAATAATTTGAAGTAACATCCTTTTACTCTCAGTTAATAACAGTAAGACAAATCAGCAAGTTCATGTTGCTTACCATATATTCTTCTGCTTTTTCTGACATTTTTTACAGTTGTAATGTTCCAATACATAATATACCGCCCCCCTTACCCATCATTTAGTCCTAGTTTTACAAGTAAATATGTGTATGCATGCAGACCTCTCTCTCTCACTCCCTCTCTCTCTCTCCCCAGTCATTTTGGTTATCTGAACTTGTTCTCGATAGATTCTACAGAAAGGCTCACAATATTTCCTGAGTTCTTGCATATACAGGTTGTCTAAAGACTTTATATTTAGAGATCAGTATTTAACTAGATATAAAATCCTTGGTTCACACTTTATTTCCTTGAGTATTTCATTTAAATTTGTTACTTCATTATCTTCTGGAATAAAATTATTAAAAATTTTTACATAAACCTGATTTTCTTTTCTTAATAAGGTACTTGGTCTTTCTGCCTGGATGGCCAAATTTTTTTTCCAAATTCTATTTATGCTGTTTGATAATAGCTTGTATTGTTTTAATTTCTTATTATTTTGAAATATTATGTTAAATTTTTCATATGCTTTATGGTATTCTTTCTTTCCTAGAAAACTATTATTCTCTCTGTTATTCTCTTTTTTCTTATTATTAACATCTGTGGAATGTGACCATAGTCCTACCTTGCTGTTCATGTGAAAAATGGATGGAATGAGCCAAGAAAGCTTTCCTAGCTTCATGGCTCTAGAGTTACCTCTTATATTGTTAGCATGAAGTATTCAAAAATATGGCTGTTTTTTCTGTGATATGCCTCTTTTGCTTCCTTCCCCCATTTGTTACCTGATCATTTCTTTCCTTGGCCCTAAGTATACCTGTCTCTCAATTTAGATTCTATCCCCAACATTTACTTCCTCAGTGTAGAACTCTGTCCTAGAAAAGGGGATTTGGTTGATTAGTATCAGGAGTTCATCAGGCCCAGACCTTTCCAGCACCATCCAATTTTCTGTGGTCATCTTACACTCATGTGTGAACTGGAGGTAGCAGAGCCCCCTCCCAGTTTTTGTTGCTGTTCTCAGGCCCACAAGCTTTCCAAGTTGAGTGTGGACTCCACCATTTGAGGTAAAGACCTGCTGGCAATTTCTTTTCTGTAAGTCCCTTTACTTTCCCTCTGCTTCATTTGTACAGTTGCTAATACTACACTGGTCTTCTTGCTGTCTATGATTTGGGCCCAACCATTTGTATTTTTGAGGTTTATGTGGATAACTTGTTTCTTCATTTTTTTATAGATGTTGTCAATGAGTTTTTGGTTTGGCTATCCTAACTGCTCTATTTTTATGGGAGAAATTCAGGGAGTTTCAAAAACTACCCCTCCATTGCTGCCAACTTTTTACTGATTTCTCTATCAGCATAGGTTCCCCTTCTTCCCCATCCCAAACCCACATTATTCTCCATTGAGCACCCTGTTGTTTTCTTGATAGCATTTGTTTTTTATTTGTTTACTGCCTCTCTCCTTCCCATTTCAATGTAAGCTCTATAAGAGCCAGCTATTTCACCCAGTTTTATAATCCCCATCACATAGCATAGAGGTTGTCACAGTAAGTACTTAATAATACATATGAATGAATAAATAAATGAATAGATGGACAATGCCAGTGCTGTTAATCTGTATCTGTAGAGAATGGCATTCTTTTCTTAACCTTCCAATATTCTTGCATACAATTTTCTATCATAAAAGATTACGTTATTTTAATCTGTAATAATCAAGTTAAGATTTAACTTTTTAAATCTTTATTTTGATATTTCCTATATTTATGCTTAGAAAAACTGTTAATTACATAAATAAAAATATCTAATCCATATATTTTATAACATAATAGGTAATAATATACTTTCTAACTTTCCATATTTTATATTTCATAAAAATTTATCAAAAGACTAAAAAGTAGATTCTAACTAACCTTATGTTTCTCACGTTTTCTCCTTTTGGATTTTTTCTTCTCTCTTTCTTTCTTGTGTTTTTTTCTTGATTTTCTGTAGGCTTTCTCATTTTTCTGCTTTTCATCCTCTTTTGCTTCCTGTTCTTGTGTTTCTTCAAATCCTGCATCATCTATTTCACCATCTTCTAATTCACCATCTTCTCTATAGAAGACAATGAAAATTTTAATGTTCAAATGTCAGTTCTAAAACAAACCTTACAGAAACATTTCAAAAGAAAAAAAGCATGTGTCAAGAATTTAAGTTATATTTATTTAGAAAAAGGATTGAAAAACTTTTTCTATATTGCTTCCTGTTCTTGTGTTTCTTCAAATCCTGCATCATCTATTTCACCATCTTCTAATTCACCATCTTCTCTATAGAAGACAATGAAAATTTTA